ATATTGCCCCACCTTAAGGCTGCCTCTTTGTGCTTCACTGCTGAGTAGAGTTGGTGTATTATGCATGTATAATGACTGTTTCATTTGCAAAGAACAATTTGCTAAAACCATTCTGCCTTGAACAATTGTTTTGATAGACAAATAAGACGGGTGGTACCAGTGAATATAAGGCAAAGTATTGTGGATCTGTTCAGAAACACATCACTAAGATATCCTTTTATTTTTTATTTATTGTTTAAGCATGATTTAACATTGCAGGGATATGGTATATGCAGAAAACTAATATTTTACGAGAATGCAGTTTGGCACTCTGGTCTCATTTCTTATTCATGCAGTGACAAAACCAATCTGTGCTAAAAAGTCAGAAAATAAATCAGCAAAACACCACTAGTTGGAACTGTTAACGGTTTGCCTTTGACAGCATAATTATATAGTCAATTAAATAATTATTAAACCATGCTTTATTGTTTTGCCATGTTCATTGTATACTTAAGGTAAGAGACCTTTAAGGAAAAAAAAGGAAACTGGCACTAACTTTCAGTTAAAAACTAGTGATCCTGCAGAAACGCTAAAGATAAAAGGTTTCAGAACTTTCATTAAAAATCTGACTTCCAATCCAGTTAATGTGCATCTTTTTGAATGAATTTTTGATGAATTTGTTTTTTTCACAAGTAAAAAAAGACATCAATGAATTTTCTGCTCCAATGTATTTTAGAATTTACACTTTGGGTTGGATGAGAGGATTAAAGCCATCCTTGACTATGATCCAGCTCAGATGTTGTTTTCTTTCAATAAAACACAAGCAGCGTAATAAAAGAAGCTGCGTATTTACAAGCCTACAATATGCAGAAGGACAAATTAGAAAAAAATGAAAAACAAAAAATCGGAGAACATGCAAGTTTTTGTTTCAACTTTGAGCAGACGTCTGGAAATATTATGTATGTACTTAGAGCTGTGCAACAACCCAAGCCTGTAATGGATTCTAACTGCCATCCAAAGCATTGTATTTATTTTTCCTTTTATTAAATAATTTCCTTTTCACAATCGGCTATTTTGTACATTATTGAAGTAAGGAACCATTGAACTAATCCCTCTGCTGTGTAGGAGCGTAGCGATTGCCTCCTTGTACATTTTTTAGACTAAATTCAGTGGACAATAGGGTTGTTTGTTCATCAGAAACACAGATCAGATTCTTTCCATGGCACCCCCCTAAAGTAACAGACTTTAACTTAGAGTTGATGAATAGGAGACATTGTTATCCATTAGCACTGATGGAGTCCACATGAGCTCATGGGTTTGTTTGTTTTTTATTTATTTTATGCAACATAGGAACATCTGCAACATCCAAGTTAACAGATGGGAGTAGTTTAAATAAAAACTGACTCATTCCTTATGGATGATAGCATGTTTTTCTCTTTCTCACCAGCAGAGGTCAGTCTACTACAGCATCACACTGGAACAAAGGGCCACATTGACCATCTGTTCAGTCTGCATTGCCTCATCATGTCTGCTGAATGAGCCATTTTAACAGATGTCTATTAACCTAAATGTCATTTTTATTCATCAGTGATGTATGGACATGTAAAATGGGAATTTAAAAGAGTAAAGGTTCATAAGAATACATTCTTCTACAGTGTGAAAGATCAGATTCCTTTTTCCATCAACTTTCTGCTTCTTCTTCATGTGCCTCACCTCCTCGGTCATCCTCCACATCAGCAACAGCTGAGCCAACTCCTTATCTGACTCTTCTGCTTTGCGTCGGTCTCAACTGTTTACTCTGCAATTAAAACACAGCCTATAAAAGGCAACCGGTTGGCTGCCAGATCCTAACGGGTGGAGATTCAGAGCAGCAGGGAGAGAGGTTATAAATCGCTTTGATGCAAACCTGGGGTCTGAAGGCCCAGATTCCTTTGCTGGAGGACTGGAGGAGTGAGTTCACCAGGAAACTGGGCCAGAAACTCTGATGATTCATGGGATGTGACTGCTGCTCACTTGGAGAGCATGTGGAAGAATGTGTATTGTGCTGCTGCTTTGGGGAGCAGGGTTACATTTTTTCTAGCGTCTTAACCCAGACGTGTGATTTGTGTAATCACTCACTGTTATATAAATTGTTATCTTTCATCTACAGCTGTGAAACCAGGAGCAGCAGCAGCTAGACTATATTATCGCCTGTTTCTTGTGTCCAGACAAACTCTTAACGTCATTATTCCCAAGAAACTACTTATATCCAAGGTATACCAATATAAATATAATTTCTATAAAAACAATTGAAATTAGAAAGAACCACAAACATCCTTGTATTTTATGTTTGTGAGATAAACATTTTCAGGATTTGTTTTTTTTTTAAGTCAAAATCAAAAGGAAAATGAGGAACACCATCACATCTGAAAAACACAGTGGTGGCAAAGTCATGCTGTGGGGAGGGTTCTTCTTTAGAAGCAAGCTGACCGGAGCTAAATGTATGCACTCCTTAATAACAAAAAAAAAGTAAATCAAAAAACAAAACATAAAGTCAGAGCTACACTCCAATGGTTAGGATGTATTAGAATGGTCTAAGTCAAAGTCTAAATCTTAATTTACTTAGAATCTGTGCCAGACTTTTCCAGTTTTTATTTATACTTGTATGATTATAGACTCTAAATAAAAAATATATACAATTAGGCAATAATATCACAGAGATATGCTCTGCAGGAATGGTCTATGCTGATTCTCCCAAAAAAGGTTCCTGTTTGTAACTACACCATGGCAGTTTTATGCTCAATTCAGGATGTCAGGAATCATGCTGAGATATGGGAGAGAATGGAGTGATCGATTTAAAAGATAAAGGGGTTTTGAAATGAACTCATCTGTCATTCATTGAGGTCGTTTAAATCTGGAGAACTAGTAGTCCCTGGCATCTGATGCAAGGCTCAGCAGCACTGTTGCCATATAAGGGTTGCTGGAAATCTTCCCTGTCTCCAGTAACCTTGCAAGCTGCTGAATATTCTGGAGGCTTTCCACAAAGTTAAATCTGATCCAAAATATTTGGTATAATTTCTCTTTATCTGTTTGTTTAAGTTTCAGCAAACTTCTTCACCTTTAATTTACCTCCTGTCAGTGACATAGCTGGTGGATAACATCTAACCAGATGTTCTGTTTATCATTTTCAATTATCTCTATATTTCTGAACACACATGGACGTGCGGTTCTAGACAGGAGCCTACAGGGGTTAATTCCCTGGTCCTGGCCCCTGTTGGGGCCCCTGTACTGAAGACATAGTACAAAAAAAAAATACGAATGATAATGTCTAAAACAGACATAGTTAGTGATAGGACCCTTGAACACATTTAATTTCTTTCTTTACACTTCTGGTTTAATTATCTCAAAATTAAGGTGATGGCTTTAGTCATTTGAGATAGGATCACAGTTTTCATCTGCTAAATGTTATTCTGAACCCAATAAAGAAAAAAGTGTCAGTTTTACATATGTTCTAAGATGACTTGATTAAAAATGGTATTTTTTATATAAAACGGGTGAGAAATATGCAATATTCTGGAATTATAAATGTAGGTCGACCCTGATATTCCAAAAATTATGTTTATTTTAGCTTTTTGTTTATATTCATCGCTTTCTTTTCCTATCTTAAGGGATTTTTAAAAAAATATATCCTTTTATTCCTTTTATCTTGATTTGATTGTGTGAATGTTTTTTTTATCCATATTTTAGCTGTTTTATTTTTTATTTATCTTATGTTTTATATATTTTTTCTGTACGGCACTTCGGTCAGCTGTGGTTGTTCTATAAGTGCTTAATAAATAAAATTGGGTTGGATGGGATTTTCAAGCCAAAAAATACACATTTCCAATTAAAACAGCATAATTTCTTAAAATAAATGACTGGAAATTTCAATTCATGGAAAAACATCTCAGCCCTGACAAGAATCAACAAATCACCAAAAATTTAAATCATGATTACAAAATTTTGTGGAGGCCAAGAAAGTTTTTGACGGGAAATTTGAAACTTAACCCTTTATAGGGCAAGTTACCGTTTTTGATTACTTGCCTTACAAATGGAGCCATTCAGCAAAGATACTGCTTCATGGCTGTACATCTGATTTTGGTATTTGACCAATTATATGAGCCCTATATAAGTCAAGAAAAAAACATTAAAAAGCTAATTGAAAAGTTAAAAAGTAAAGTTATAAAGTTAATAAGCCTCGTTAACAATTATATTTAGGTTTACAAACTAAAAAATGTAAGTGTCAGTATCAGCATTAATGCCTCTAAGGTTATGTTGGACCAAAAAAAATGTTTTTCACTGTGTGAGTGTTTTTCATTAATTTCTTATAGAAGCACTTTTGTTATTTTTCGTAATATATTCAGGAAAGTTGGTGTTTTTTTGTTATTACATTGACATTCATTTTAGCCAACAAAATATCCATATTTTTTTTAATGTTCCAAAGGTAATAAGGTCTTGTCCTGGATTTCAATAACACTATTGGCTTAATTTTTTTTTTTTTTTTAAGTATTTCACTGGGTGCCTTATAAAGGGTTAAGTTAAAATATTAGCATTTAATTTTGTATTCACAGGGATTATCATTGTCCTAATTTTTTTTTATTATTATTTTTTCCTACTTGCTTTGATTCTGTTTTATCTTCCTCTATTTTAATCATGTAAAGCACTTTGTATTGTCTTTGAACTGAATTGTGCTATACAAATAAATCTACCTTGCCTTGCCTAATGTTCTGCTTGGGCTTTTATGTTAGTTGGCCCCAACTGGCTCCCCCCCTCTGTTGGCCCCTGTTTAGAACCGCCCTCTTGTAAGGGAAATTAAAAAATAAATGTAAAAGAAATGGGAAAATGAATGCTTGGTAGTCTTTTGAAGGCTTTATCTGGGACGTTTGTGTGAAGGGGATGGGGTTCAGCAGTGGACTCTTTCCAGTGAGAAAGGAAAAAGTGGGATTGAAGCGGTGACGTTATCCCTGCTGGAAAGAGAGAGGGAGGGGGGAGAGGAGAGAGGGAGGGCTGGACTCCATTAATCCGAAGCCTGCTGCTGCCTGGAAAACTGTTTGGGATACTTCACTTCTTCAGCGACTTCTTCGGGGATTTCTTTCTGTTTTTAGCACCAAGTCCAGAACATATACATGATTTAAAGAAGTGGGACTCATTCTGCGCCGTTTAATCTACTCTTTAGGTATTTTTTTTCCGTCTTTGTGAAGGTGAGTGTCCACATTTAAATGCTCGTCCTCTAAGATCAGCTCGTTCGCCGCTCGGAAATAAGCAAACCTCTTTTTTTAATGATGATTATCGCGAGACTTTCATCCGTTTAATTAAAAGTTGACTTTTGTTTGGGAGGGTTATTTTTTTTCCTCCTCCCCTACTTTTAGTTGAACTTCTTTCTTCAGGGACCGACTGAGTGAGTATATGGTTGCATGGAGCAGCCGGGGAATTGCTGCTGCTGCTGCTGCTTACATAATTAAGCCCTATTTGGGAGGCAGCCGTTACCGTTAGTTTTAACAACAGGTGAGGAGGCGGCGGCGGCGGCACAATGACGTAGATAAAAGCTGCCAAAGGTCTCTGCTGCTCGCGGGAAACGAGGCTTTGTTCCGCCGTGTTTTTATTGCGTTGAAAAGCCAGGCCACCGAGTGACAGATACACGGACGGTGGTAACTTTTTGGCGGGTTCTGTGTTCAACAGGGGAGGTTTTATAAAGAGGAACCAGGAGTTCTGTCAGACCACCATACCCATAGTCAATCCATGTTTATCCCTTTAGTTTTGTACTAAAAAAAAGCAATTTAATTACTTCCTTTTTGGTGTATTTTGAAGCGTGGCGACCTGACCTTAAATATATTTTTTTAATATTTGTTTTTAGTTTGAAGTGTATTTTTTGTACAAAAATAAAGTGAGAAATGGGACTAGCATACATGTATGCAAATATGATGTCTTGCATTGACTATGGGTATGCTGATCTGACAGAACACCTGTTTAGCTTGAAATCTATGCTTGGTAATTGACAAAAAAATTAACCAAATTTATTTTTTTTTCATATAAATGTAGGGGAATCTGTATTTTTTTTTTTCCCAAAGTAAGATTCTATGAAGAGTTTATCTGATTTGATGAAACTTTACATCCTTGCATTATATATATATATATATATATATATATAAAATTTTTTTTTTTTTAATTTATTTATTTTTTTATAGATTTTATGTTTGAAGTATGGCTTAGAAATCTAAATCTAATCAGATTTTTTTTTCTCCAAATTTCAATTGATTGTTTTTTCTTAAGTTTCATGGTTAAAAATGACAAATGAGACACATTACTTTCAAAAACTAGGTTTAATTTCGCTGATCCCCTCTGGGAATCAACCTTTATTTAAAGAACAACGAAATTTTAGCTATGAAAAATGCTTTTAAAACAATCTTTGACAACAACCAAGGAAATTAAAATAAAATAATGATTACAGCCAAGGTCAGCTAGTTTTGCAGTATTAAGTACAGATCTAAGAGCAAATACTTATGAACTGAAGTCGCCCTCAGCTATGGAAGCTCAAGGAATGCATTGTTAATTAACTCCAAAAATGAAATCTTTATGAACTGCATATTTTATTAATTGATGTTATTGATTAATCACCCCATCCTGGTTTTAAGTTACGTTTAATTTTATGTACAGGTTTTATTTTCTGACTAGAAGTCATACTAATGGAGTGATCTAAACTTAAATTTGACAGAAAAGTTAAGGAGCTTTTAACTCATGACCAAATTGATCAGGTTTACTGAGTAAAAGAAATATTAGATCAGCTGTATTAAAACTGACTTTATAAACAACAAGATTTTCTTATCACATTATTAAAGTAGACACATTTATAAGATAAAACACATTTATATATATATTAGTGCTGTCAAAATTATCGCGTTATTAACGCGTTAACGCGAGGCCATTTTAACGGCGATAATTTTTTTAACGTGAGATTAACGCTATGTGGTTTTATGGTACAATTTTTCCAAGTACATCCCGCTGCAGCCTGCGGGAAGGCGGGGCTATTTTCCCCCAGTCTACGCATTTCTCATAGGCTTCTAGAGCGGAGCTCCTCAAGGGAAAAAGACGCTCATACACTGGGTGACGCTAGTGCCTTTTCTTTAAGCCCCACCACCAACAAACAAGTTGAGTGTCTGGTAACTAGTAGCAACCTGAAATACGCTGAGAAAACTGATTACTGAGGTGAAATGGAATCTCGTAGCAGCACTCTTGCCGTCTGTGTACGCAACAGGTCGGTATCGCGTGTGTGTGTGTGTGGGTGGGTGTGTCTGTGTGTGGGTGAGTGGGTGTGTGTGTGTTCTCATTTTTGTTAAGAGGCTGAAAAGTAACTTTCTAGAGCATAGACTACCTTCATCTAGTAATGTCGGTCTATTGATTTTGATGTATTGATTGAAAATTGTTCATTATTACCTTGGTTAATTAACATCTAATGTTAACTCTACTGCATTTTATAGCGGTAGGGTAAAATGCTTGTCTTTGTTCAAAAGACTGTATTAACTGTAAAGACTGTCTTTTACATCAGCCTGTTTTCAGGGCCTTTTTTTTTGCCTACATATTTGTTATTTTTTGCTACATGCCTCCCCATCTTCTTGCCATATGTTTCTATGGCATAAATCAGTGTCTGTGACCTGTTTTTATTTTAAAAAAAGAACATTGGCACAAACCTAGCCTGTATGTATTTTTTGTATGTCATCGAGAGTATTTAAATGATTTTCAATCAGGAAAAAAATGTGCGTTTAAAATGCGATTAATCGCGAGTTAACTCAGGCATTGATGCGATTAATCGCGATTAAAAAATTTAATCGATTGACAGCACTAATATATATACAAAAAATCCCACACCCATCTACCCTGCTTATTGCCAGCATTTCTTTTTCTGTCATGCTGAAAACATTTGCATTATGCCCTCCATTTTTCATCACACCCTTGCCTCCTGAGCACATAAGAGAAAAGTATGCTGCTCCACCATGCAGCATGGCTAAATTGACACTATTTGGGTTTATACAATGTATATAATTACCAACAGACTTGTATAAAATTCATTCAGCATCCTTGTCACCATTAAAGGAGAAGTTCGGTTTTTTACACTTTAAGCCCATTTTCTGTAGTGTCCAGGATGAAATCGAATGATCGACACCAAAAGTTTGACAATTGCTCCTGTCTCTGCTTTTTGGCTCATTTAGAATCACCCCCTGGCTGCTTTAGAATGGCTTTCATAGAGCATGTCCGATAATGTCCTTAAAACAACCTTAAACGTTCTTTTTTTAAAATATGCTACTCACCGTGTCGTCAGCGCTGTTCAATGACGTTCCAAAAAAAGTTTCGTGAAGAAAAAACGTTCCTGTAGTGTTTTATTTAGCATTTTGTAAATCCCATTGAGTTCTGTAGGAATAGTCAATATTCCGCTGCCACCGGAAACGGAAATGGGGCCTGTTTACACAGTTGTAGTCTTTTCGCTTCACTCTGTGTACTCCGACGTCGAGGTGCTAACGTCTCTGTTAAACACTTTAAAAAACTCTGAAAATGGAATACGAAAGGTGGATTCTTGATTCTCGACGTCGGAGTACACAGAGTGAAGCGAAAAGACTACAACTGTGTAAACAGGCCCCATTTCCGTTTCCGGTGGCAGCGGAATATTGACTATTCCTACAGAACTCAATGGGATTTACAAAATGCTAAATAAAACACTACAGGAACGTTTTTTCTTTACGAAACTTTTTTTGGAACGTCATTGAACAGCGCTGACGACCCGGTGTTAAAAAAAAGAACGTTTAAGGTTGTTTTAAGGACATTATCGGACATGCTCTATGCAAGCCATTCTAAAGCAGCCAGGGGGGGATTCTAAATGAGCCAAAAAGCAGAGACAGGAGCAATTGTCAAACTTTTGGTGTCGATCATTCGATTTCATCCTGGACACTACAGAAAATGGGCTTAAAGTGTAAAAAACCGAACTTCTCCTTTAAAGAGCTTTAATTACCCAAGGAAACATTGTTAGCTCATTTCGTCTGGTATTCTCTTACAAATACCAGTGAGGCTTTGCTTATGAACAGTGGCCCCCTCTAGTGGATGGTGTTAGCTTTAAAATGAATTCTTAGAGCCTCATTATCAATTAACAGATGGAAAAACGTTTAATCTTATTAACTGTCAGCTAATCATAAGTCGATGTGAATTTTTTTTTAAAAGTAATTAAGATTTTTGAATTAATGGAACCAAAAAAGCTTTAAAAAATGGTTCTGTCTGTATCCAACGCTATCTGTTAACTTCTGCAGGCATGAGAAAGGGAATAGAGAAAGTTTAGAATAACAGCAGAATCGTAGTTGTGTGAATCCTTGGTGAAGGATCAGAGGCAAAATGTGGATGTCAAACAACAATTAAAATTTCTTTAAAGACTTTAAATGGGCTTTGCACATGTTTTGTCTATGTTGTTTCTCCACTTAACATTTTTTTTTTTTACAGGATGGCTCTGGATGGGATCCGGATGCCCGATGGCTGCTACGCCGATGGGACGTGGGAGCTGAAGATGCACGTTACCGACCTCCACAGGGATGTGTCTCTGAGGGTCACCGGAGAAATCCACATTGGTGGTGTAATGCTCAAACTTGTGGAGAAACTAGGTACAGGGGCATTTGGTTTTGTCTTGCATGGGTATTGTGTACTGACTGATTTTTGACTTGATTCATATAAATGCATTGATTTAGAGTCTCAAATAGCCGTTTTGTTCCATTTGTAGCCATTGGATAACTTTTCTGCCTTCTGCATGCTGTGTGAGAGTGTTGTGTATGTTTTTGAGGCTGACTTCTGTTATCTGGTCACATTTGTTGGGCAGTAAATACCTCATTCTTTCAAAGTAGGCACCACTCTGAGGATTCCACAAGCATTGCAAAAGAACAAAATGTTACTGAAAGCTTGAGTCAGCAGCTGACATTTTGCCTCATTCTTTTGGCCGGGAGCCCAAAAGAATTCTGTTTATCACGGTCTAGAGAGGAACAATTCCTTTTACAGTTTGGTACTTTCAGCAAATGTCCCTAATTTTGGATAAAAAATAACAATTTAGTGCCTTTCAGCCATGTTTTATACCTTGCTAAAGTAATGGGACTTTATTCGTTCAGTCTAGGTTGGATCCATTGGATCTCATATTATGTCTAGCATATGATAACATACTGGTTAATTAACTGGAGATGTAGGGCAAGTTTTTGGGTGCCTTGTTTAATTCGGCTCTTTTTTTCTTTTTTTTTGCCAGACTAGAAAGCTGTCTGTAATTTTGGGGCTCCACAAGGCTCTATTCTTGGGATTCTTTTATTTAGCAGCCATTGTTCAGATTATAGTGTGCTGCAGCATCTATAACCACATTTATGCTGATGACAAACAGCCTTGTTCTTCTCTACCACTATAGTTTGTCACAGTCTTTTAGTTAATGAGCGGATGGATTCAGTTTTTGGAAGCACAGTATCTGCCAAAGTTGATAATTTGCCAACATATCTGTATCATTCCTACTAGTTAAGCGGGGCTGATATTAACAGATTTTTATCTCCACCTTGTTGCTGTGTTTTTTTATCTGTTTCAGTAGCGGGAGGGCTTGATCATGTCGTGTTTGTTTGGAAATTAAAGAGGGATGGTGATGCAGAACAGGAGTGTGGGATGCTTAACTGAGACCGAGAAGAAATGTTATATGGGACATTTTTTTATATTTTTTTTCACTGAGTAAAGAGGGTAGGGTGTATACTATACTGGCAAAAGAATGAGGTCACTCCATCAATTCAGTGAAATTTAGATGTTCCAATTGCCCCTAAACCTCAACGATGTTTACAGAATAAAGTTGTGATTGCTTGGAATCATCAAGTGTATATAATAGAGGTAAAATACTGTTTATCTGCTATAGCAACCAGAGTAACCTCAGATATAGCAATTGGTTGACATTTTCACATCAGTGCATCCTTAGTCAGGATTTCTACCTTTAAAAAAAAAAAAAATGCCATTCTATTTGGTTCAAATCCCAAGTTTGAGATCAGATGGAAAACATTGATTAGGCTAAGAAAAACGTTTTTTTGTTTTTGTAAAGAAAAGTTTTTTTTTAACAATCATGTTCTTTTTTACAGCACATATCAGAGTTGGATGTCAGGTGCAAAACCTGTAACCCTCAGGTCATCAGACGGTCTTTTAATGTTTTCTGTCATTGGACTAGAATGAGGGAAAAAAAGAAAAGGAGGGAGCTCTGAAACCAGCTGCCTTTGAACTTAAAATTTAAAGACGCTGTACTGCAAACTTTTAATCTTTGCAACTGATTTTCAGGCAAAGGTCAAATGTTATTCATGCATTTTTTTATTTATCTTTAAATGTGCATTAAATGATCACTTTTACATGTGATGCCTAAACCTGTAGTAGCTCAGTTTAATTGACCCCCTTTGCTTACCATATGTTTTTTTGCATCATCATTTGATTGGCCAACAGAGTTTTCTTCATAGACCTGCCTTGTATTGCAGGATATATAAATACAGCCGGTTGCATGAGGAAACCATACTGCTACCCTCCATACTTGTACTGTTCTGTATGCACTGAAATGTTATGGAGAAGTTTGGGTGCCAGTGAGCATAAGAGCCCTCTGTTCCACTCACTTGAACACTGCCTCGTTTCATGACGCCTGGAGAAAAGGTCAGCGGTGGTGGCAGTTCCATTTAGCAGCGACAGCTTGTTGTGTGCCGATGGTGCTCAGATGCTCAGAATTCCTGCAGAGCTCCGAGGTTTTTATCCCGCGTCTTTGGGTCCCGTTTTAGCTCTCCTGTTGGAGCTCCACATAATTGAGGTCTTTGTTCTCTGCGGTCGTCTATGTTGGGATACATCCATGCTCAGTAAAGGGCAGCGTTGGTTCCATTTGTAGGCTGACAGGGACTGCTCCTGGGACCAGCCCTTATCCATTGTTGTTGTGTAATTGAGATGATTATTTTCAGGCCAGCCGAGTTACAAACACAAGTCTTGTTTTACAGAACGGTTTATAAATTTAAGGTAATGTTGCAGAAATGTCTTTATATTTCTGCAGCCGTTTAGCTCTTCCTCACTAGGTGTGATTCATTTGCAGCCTTCTGAAGTGAGCTTTACTTTAACAGTCACTCTCATATTGAGTAGCAGAACATTTGGACTGTTTATTTTCTACTAGTGTTCTAGTGCGTTTGTGCAACTGACAGCTGAGAGTGGGAGCATCTCTACTACCTTAAGGCAAAAGGTTGTTATGTATTATATTCATTAACTAAGCTGCAGTGTGGACTTAACGTGTGGTTGGTTGGTTTATATGGATCTTTTTTCTTCTTAAAAACAAGCAGTAGGTTGATTTTAGAAATGTGTTAATTTGAGGAAAACTGTTTTTTTATTATAATTGACAACAAGTTTAGATTTCCTGTGCGATTCTATTGAAGAGAAGAAGCTGGAAGATGTTGTGGCTAAATCACAAGACTATGAAGTACATGACTTTATAATCCACATTTAAAGATGACTCATAATAAAGTAAATCCTGTCCTTCACAATCACATTATTTATCGTGTTCTAGAACAGCTGAACTTAGTAGGTTTGGGTCTATAGGATCTTGTATTCTATTTTACATTATTTAAAATAGTGCTCACTGGTAAGTGCATCTTTCCTTCACACTCAAACCTTCTTAGCCTGTTTTATATCTGTTGATTTCAAATGCTTATGTTTGTTTTTTTTGTTTTGAATTGTCATTAGTACACATGCATGTGCTCCCACGCGTGAGTCTTGCAGTGGGTCGGTGGGTGCGTCTCCTTCACGTGCATTCTTCTTCTATCATTCGACCCTTCTTGGGTTCTGCAGGCTCAAATGGCCTTTGATAATGGATTAAATAGACAAATGCCAGGAAGCCACTTAGGTATTGATCTCCATAACGGACCCTCCCTCCGCTTTCCCCTTCAAACCTGCAGGAGAGCAGTATTTAAAAGGCAGCTGATTAACCACCCTCGGCTACTTTATCTTTTCATCCCTTCGTTGCTTTCAATCATCTAGACTTTCTTCTGTTTTGGCCATGTTTTTCTAAAACACAACAGTTTTTCTTTTTTTTCTAAAAGCCCTTCCATTAAATAGGGAAAATAATGTACATACAGCAGCAAGCTGCATGAGATCTATTCAGTTTGAACGGACTGTGTAGAGAAGGAATTGCATGTGTATTTAGCTAAGATAATCTGACTACCGTATTTTCACGACCATAAGGCGCACCGGACTAAAAGGCGCAGTCTCAGTTATGTGTGCCATTTCTGTATTTAACACACACATAAGGCGCACCGGACTATAGGGCGCGTTTTTTATATACAGGTACATGTCCTCTCAGGTGGATTTTCCCACTTAAAAACATATTAAAACTACTTTATTCCCACTGATCACAGCAAATAAAGCTGCAAGATGTATTTATTACAAAGTATTATTCAAACCTGGGAACCGGCATGCTGATGACACAGGGCTGTGATTACTCCTCTGATACAGTTTATTGAGGCATAAATTAACTTAAAACATAGGCAGGATAATAATCTGGATGAACTGACTGCAATGATTAAATTTTCAGGTGGACTTTCTCACTTAAAAAGATTTAGATTATTTAGAAAAAACACCTGCGGAGGTGAGCCCGTATGCCCCGCGGCCCAGAGCCTGCTGTTGAATTAAGTTTTCAGGTAGAAAAATAGAGCGGGAGCAAAACTGAGTATGATTGTGCTTTATTCATGTATTTATTACAGAGTATTAATCAAACCCCTCAAAGTCCTCATCCTCTGTTTCTGAATTAAACAGCTGCGCTAAATCCGACATGCCAGTTTCCCCTTCTTCTTCGTTTATTGACACATAAATTAACTTAAAACATAGGCAGGATAATAATCTGGATGAACTGACTGCAATGATTAAATTTTCAGGTGGGCTTTATCACTTAAAAAGATTTAGATTATTTAGATGAAAAAACACCTGCGGAGGTGAGCCCGTATGCCCCGCGGCCCATAGGCTGCTGTTGAATTAAGTTTTCAGGTAGAAAAATACAGCGGGAGCAAAACTGAGTATGATTGTGCTTTATTCAAATATTTATTACAGAGTATTAATCAAACCCCTCAAAGTCCTCATCCTCTGTTTCTGAATTAAACAGCTGCGCTAAATCAGACATGCCAGTTTCCCCTTCTGCGCTGTCAGTCACTTTCCGTGCAGCGCAGCTCCTCAGAAATAATGCCGGCTTTTGCATAGCTTGAACAACAGAGCCAGCAGACACAGTCCATCTACAATCCATCCGCAAACGGTGGCGTAACTTGCCCGGCGCTGCCTCCCACTTTTCCTGAAACTGTGGTCTCAGTCTGTCATCCATCGCTCCCACGCCGCTCGCAGCCTTACTTTGAACGGCCGCGTCACACCGATGTCGAGCGGTGGAAGCTCCTTTGTCAGACCCCCGGGATAACGGCGAGCACAGCGTTCATTTGATTCACCTTTTTTTTCACATCGGCTGTGAGATGGGCACGCAGCAATGGTGATGCGTGGAAAAAAACACCTAGTCTTCTCAGATACACCTGCCTCAGCCACGCATCCATACGGAGCCACCCAGCCTTATACGCGCGTCAACCATTGACTTTGCATGTAAACTCGC